GAAGGGGGCTCATCTTTCCCCTGTCCAGCATGTCGCCAACTTGAAAATCCCTTTAAGACAAAACAAGAGGCTCCAGGAAACTGTCAATGGCACATCTGATTGCAAGGCACAGCAGCGGTGAGCCAAGGAGAGAAATTCCTGAAGCAGATTCTCAGAGGAAACTTTCTGAGCAGCTTTCAGAATATAAGGCAAGAGTGGAGTCCTGGAGAAGCATGGACTTCCAAAAGAAAGCCCTGTTCTATTAAATATTTTTAAAAATATGAAAGTAGAAAGATTTGGCATCCTCTCCCTCTCTATAGTTTCATCTCCTGTCTGACGGTGGCACTTTCTGTGTAAGTTGCTGTAAATTGCTGTTTCTGGGACTTGCAGTCAAACGCATACTAATAGATTAAGTAGGCGCTCGAGAAATGTTTGTAGCTCCTAGATAGGAGCTCATGATGTGGATTTGGTAGAGGAATCAGAGGTGTAAAGAGGTAGAATACCGATGGAAGAAGTCAGGGGATGTCCTAAGACCCCATACAATAAGAGGCAGAGACCTGGGGCGGAGAGAAACGGGAATGTTTGGGGCAGAGCCTGGGAGAGCATCTTGTGGGTTAACACAGTTCCTGCATGGGAAGAAATGCTTTCTTGCCTCTGAACTTTGGTTCATGCAGTCCCTTCTGCCTGGAATGCCCTTACCCCTCCTCCTTCCCCAGTAAACTGTCACTTGTTCTTTCAAGACTCAATTCAGGCATTACCTCCTTCAGGAAATCTTACCTGATACCCTGCCTGGGTGCTCGCCTGATCTCCATTCCTATTCCTATCCCTGCACGCAGATCATTGTTCTAATATTATGGGTGTGCCCGTCTTCTCTCCTAAATCATGAGATGACTGAGGACAGGCACTGTGGCTTGCCCACCCCTGTGTGCCTCAATAAATGTGTGTGGAATGAATAAATGAGAAACAGGAGAAAGGAAGAAAGGGAAAGAGGCTCCTGTTCTGTTCCTCAATCCCAGGAAGAAAGGAGGCAGTGTACCATTACTCAGGAAAAAGGCCAGAAGGAGGGGACTGTGGATCTATTCCAGGAATAAAAGCAAAGGGCTCTGGTCTTTTTATCAGCCTTTTTCTTTTTCATCAAAACAAGAAGGCCCAGAACTGTGTTCCTTGTACTTTCGTAAGCTTTCCTAGGCTGAGTGACTCCTGTGCAATGGTTTCTCCACAGTAGTAAATAACCAAGCCTTTGGCATTGAAGAGCCCGTGGGCTTGTCTTCAAGACAGGAAGAAGGATGGAGCCTCGCAGCCAGTGTTGGAGAGAGAGATTCCCTAGGCAAGGCACGGGGGTTGGCACCTTCAAAGAGTAGCGGAAGGAAGGCTGAGGTCCTGGGGCCTGTGACTAGGAAGAAAAGGAGAGTTTAGAGAAAGGTCTGGACCTGAGAAGTGACCATTAAGTTTGAAAATGGGCCCCTGAAGACCTTACACAGGGAGCTATTTAACCAGATGCCAAAGAGTTTGGGCCTATGGCCAAATCTGGAAAGAATGTTTTAAGACCTGGCAGTGGCTAAGCAACTTAGCTCTGCCTTGGAAGAAAAGGCAAAACTGGCAAGGACTCCAGAAAAATATTTCAAAAATCAGAGCCCCTACGTTTTAGTCTACCTGCCAGCTCTAATCAGTGGGTAAGGGCTTTCGGTATTGCTAAATTGAGAAGGAATCTAAAGCTATCACCACAGTTGGTTAAAAAAGAAAGAAAGAGAAAAGTAAAGAAAGAAAGAAAGAGCTCTGATTGATTAATCCTGTCTGCTATGGGTTTAGGTAAGGAGGAATAGGAAAGAACCTGGAAATCAGAATGAAAGATAAAAGAGGGGGATCTGTTTTTTTTTTTTTAAGATTTTATTTATTTATTTGAGAGAGAGAGACAGTGACAGAGATAGCAAGAAAGAGCATAAGCCCGCCACTCCTTCTGCTTGTGCTCTCTCTGGCAAATAAATAAAATCTTTAAAAAAAAAAAAGTACAGGGGCACCCGGGTGGAGACACACAGTGAGAGAGGGAACACAAGCAGGGGAGAGTGGGAGAGGGAGAAGCAGGCTCCCACTGACCAGGGAGCCTGACGTGGGGCTTGATCCCAGGACCCCAGGATCATGACCTGAGCTGAAGGCGACGCTTAACCGACTGAGCCACACAGGTGCCCCCCCCCCTTTTTTTAGTGAAAGAGAGAGCACAAACCAGGGAGGAGAGGCAGAGGGAGAGGCAGAGGGAAAAGCAGACTCCCTGCTGAGCGGGAAGCCCAACATGGGGCTCAATCCCAGGACCCGGTGCTCAATCCCAGGCCCCTGCGGGATCATGATCTGAGCCAAAGGCAGACGCTTAACCAACTAAGCCACCCAGGTTCCCTAAGAGGGGGCTCCTTAAAGATATTATTGAATGATCAATGTGCCAGGCCTATGTGCCAGGCATTGTTTTATGACCTTTACATACATTCACTAATTTAATCCTCACAACAACCCATAAAGTTACTATCCCTGATTTACCAAGGAGGAAACTAAAAGTTCAGGGAGGGTGACAATTAATGAGTGGCAGAGATTCCCACCCAGGCAGTCTGGCTCTGAGTTCTCATTCTTAACCATCTTAACAGATACTGTAGCCAACCACTTTCCATTGCTGATTGCAATCATTGTGTCAAGCAACTGACATAAACTCTGTGATTTAACTTCCCTCCATAAGACTTGCACCCTGCAGTTCGCACATGCATAAAACATTTTACAGAGCACTTCATCTTAAACCACGCGAGCTAAGAGTCATGAACAGGACAAGAGCATGCGTTCACCTGAAGAAAGAAGAAAGAAGGACAAAATCAGGACTCGGGAATTTGGTCTCTCACAAAACATCTCTGGCCTTTTTACTTTTTGCTCTAGCATGAATGGTTTACTCAAGATCCTCCAAAATACACAGGACAGAGAAGCCAGATGAGGGAGTCTTCGTTTTGTGGAGGACCTGTTCTGCTTTCTCCTGTGTTGGAATGAAGTATTCTTTCGCAAAATGGTTTCAGAGCAGGTGTCAACAAACTATGGGCCCTGCATCAAATCCTGCCCATTTTTGTAATAAAGTTTTATTGGAACATAGCCAGGTTTATTCTTTGACGTTTAGTCTCTGGCTCGTCTCACACTAAACAGCAGATCTGAGTAGGTGCAAAACAGACCATATGGCTTGCACAGCCACCAATATGGCCCTTTGCAGAAAAACTGCTGATCCCAGCTGTCCACTTTAGGCCAGATTTTCTATATACCCCCATGGCACAGGTGCTCATCTCATGTCCTTAACTAGGGAAGGAAGAACACTACCTCCCCTTTGGTGTTGGCTAGGGGAGGTGTGAAGTAGCACATCTATAAGAGGAACCAAAATGAAAACAAATGTGGCCAGAACAGCACACAAAGTGTGCTCTGAGAAATGTTAATCAACATTATGTGATAAAACAGTTCCGGGGTCAATTGGGAACTTCGGTGGTAAACAACCTTAAGCAGATTTCTCTACTGTGGCACTTCTCAGGACCTTTAAAATGCCATTATGCCTTGAGATCGCTCAGAGGGTGATATGGTTCACAGAACGTACTTTCCCCATGGGCCTATGTTCTTTAGAACATTCTTTGGGAAATGCTGAAATAAAATAAGTATTTAGAATCATGCTCCCTGGGAACTAGAAATGAAAACTATGTGAACTGTGGCTTAGTGAGCATGTCTTTCTCTCAGTAAGGAAAGAAAATGAAGAAGAAATGAAAAGAGCCAGGTGAAAAAAAAAAAAAAGAAAGAGAGGTGTTTGAAGGGAAGAAGGAAGGAAGCAGGGCCCTGGAGAAATACCATGGGAGGAGCTGAGGAACACTTGGAGGACTGGACTATCAGAGGGAACGATGTGCCAAAGGCTGGGGCTGCCACCCACGCAGGATGTGTGGCCACGTCCATCATTACCATGGTCATCGTCAGCACTACCGGGGCCTCCCTACTCTGCAGATCCTGTGTTATGTCCTTTAGACCTACAATGTCACTTCATTCCCATTTTACAGACGAGGAAATAGAGGCACAGACAAGGAAGTAGTCAGAGACAAAGCTTATAAAGCTTGTAAGTGGCAATGCATAGATTCAACTCTGTGATCTGGCCCCAGAGCCCATGTTCTCCCCACCGCACTGCCCTGCTCTACTTGTACCTGCATTCGACCAAGGGCGGTAAGCTCAAACAGGATTCTGTACGGAGATGCGACACGAAGCCACTTGGAGGAAAAGACAAAACAAACCAACCAATGTCACTTTGATAACTGACTACACAGGGAGCCAAACAGCTAGAGGACTGATTTTTCCCCCTCACAGGACGGCCAGATGTTTAGATAGCATGTTTTCTTCTTCTCCTTCTTTTTACTCTTGTGTTAACTATTCCTTCTTAACTCCTATCATAAGTTATCTATCAGGCTTATCCAAGGTCCTACATTTGCTCCTAAAGTGAACGTAATAGTTTTTGAATGTTAAGAAAGCATTTTCAACCCAAACACGACAACTACTGTATTTATAAGCCCCATTTAGATTTCCACAACTACCGAGTCTTTTTTTCAGGTTCTGAAAACATGAATCACAGCTCAAGTAAATCTTTTGTGGCTCAGAAATGTACCTGCATTTAAATACTCGCATTTATCCACGTCCTAGCTTACCAATGACTTCCATGCTTAAAGTATGATGAAAATAGTAAATCACACTGGTCAGGAGAGTTAAACCCAGGTCTGGAAAAGCAGTCTAGCATGTAAAAAACTTGCACAGAGTATCCTGGATTTGCTGCAATGGCAAAAAAAAAAAAAAAAAGGAAAAAAGAAAAATGGTTGCCTCGGCATGCTACAAACATTGGCTGGGAGCTCCTGAAGGCGAAGTTCATGTGGGGCAATCCACTTCTGATTTACATTCTTGAGTCTACAGCAAAACAAAGGGCTGCTGCAGGCGGGCAGGGAAGAATGGAAAGACTGCCACACTGCTCGTCAATTTCTGTTTACCTGGTGAACGGTGAGGGCAGGGCTTTGGGCTCCTCGATCCAGAAGAGCTGTAGGGCAGAGTGTTCAACTCCTGGCTGGCTTGGGGTTGCTGCCCTTCACGCTGCTTCGGCTGCTTCTAAGATCCCATTGGAAAGCCCAAAGGGCTGGAGAGCCCCAAGGCCAATATTACATTTCCAAGAGAGTATTCCTCCCCCTGCCCCCAACACCCCCCCACCCTTTGCTTGCGTTGACTTTGGAGAGGCTCGGGTTTCTTCCACTCCTGCGCGGAGCAGCTGGGAGAGTTGGGAATCAGGCGCGTTGCGCTGGCTGCCGGGGTGAGGCGGCCCCTGAAACCACTTCCAGATGTGCTTGGCAGGCTGGCTCGCATGGCCGGACTTCCTCTGGCATCCTCCTCCAGCAGTTTGCATGCAAATCATTTCGAAAACAAGGCAGCTCTGGAGGAAAAGATTCAAAACCGGAGAAAAGCAAATGCTTGGAGGGTGGATTTCCACCATGCATTGGGTCTAGGGTAAATTTTGAAAGAGCAGACGTGGAAAAAAGAAGTTCATACTGATTTTCAGAATCTCAAATTAGCCACAAGTTTCTCCTGAAATCCCCCAGTCATTAAAGTGCTGTGGTCCCCAAATTAAAGCCCAGCTAACAGCTATGGTCTCATTTTACCAAGGCAATGATAGCAATAGGAGTTTTTAAGATGGTGTGTTTTGAGCCCGAACATGGAAAGGAATCAGGCAGGGAGTCAACCCCATCCAGCTCTGGGCTGTTCTCTTTCTGCTATTGATTCTCAGAAACCCAGGAAGTGGTGCCAGTACTTTGCCTGGGATCAAAAAATTTACTTCTGCAACCTCTCCCCTTAGCTCCTATAAGGAAATGAGGATCCCTCTACTCACCGGCTCTTTTTAAGTGGCATTTCCCAATAGAAATATAATGCAGGCCACCCCGTAATTTAAAATTTTCTAGTAGTCACCTTAAGATAAATACAAAGACAGGGCACCTGGCTGGCTCAGTCGGAAGAGCGTTCAGATCGTGAGTTTCAGCCCCATGTTGGGTGTAGAGATTACTTAAATAAATAAATAAATAAACAAACAAACAAACAAACTTTTTTTTTTTTAAAGATTTTATTTATTTATTTGACAGAGAGAGACAGCGAGAGCAGGAACACAAGCAGGGGGAGTGGGAGAGGGAGAAGCAGGCCTCCCGCCGAGCAGCGAGCCCGATGCGGGGCTCGATCCCAGGACCCCAGGATCATGACCCGAGCCGAAGGCAGACGCCCAACCGACTGAGCCACCCAGGCGCCCCAATAAACAAACTTTTAAAAAGAGAGAGAAAGAGAGTAACCATGTGCCAGGCACTCGGCTGAGCAGTAAAAGAAAAAGGAAAAGGTAAGTACAAGGAGGTAAAATTAATTTTAATGATATATTTTATTTAACCCAATATATACAAAATATTATTTCAACATGTAATGATACATTGTTTTTTGTATTAAGTCTGAAGTCTGGTGTGTATCTTATGCTTGTAGCACATGTCAATTCAAATACTAAATTTCATCAGAAACAATTGATATGTATTTAGATTTCATATAATTTGCAGTTTAAAAATTAGGTTCACATACTCAGGCTGTTCCAAGCATACTTAAAAGCTTTCCAATAATGAATCAAGTATCAGTTCTTCAACTTAAATTCATTAACACTAAGTAAAACTTAAAAGCTAGTTCCTCGGTTGCACTAGCCACATTTTAAATGCTCAACAGCCAGTGTGCCTGGTGGCTACTGTATTGAAAGGTGTGGCTCTAAAGGGTTTAGTGGGTTTGTTTTTGTTTTTTTTTTTTTCAGACTTGAACTTGGAGAGTGGGAATATCTGGAATAGCTTCCCTTTGTGTAGAATTTTGAACACTGACAAAGCATCTTCACATCTTCTATTTCGTTTTCTTCTCATAACATTCTCAGTAAGTTCAACAGAGATGTTGTTTGCCCCAATTTGCAGATCAGCAAAATGGAGGCTTTGAGCATGCTAATGTCCCCAGCTCCCAGAGCAAGTTGGTGATGAAGCCCAGACTGGAATTCTCATCGGCAGTTCTCACCCGTTTCTTACTTGAGGCATGCTTCAAATACTAGGATCTCTGGCTACAACTCTAAGGGTGAAACTGCATCCAGGGCTTTTGCATTCTTCACTTGGCGGGCCTTCAGCATCCAGGCACTGTTCGTATGGACTTATCCGCTGCCCTGGCGGTGTTCCCTTACATACCCCTATCCTAAAGCCCTCATACCATCCAGGAAATATGCCATTTTTCTTTGAAGCAGGCTTGACATTATGCTATTCCTCTTTTCTCTTTACTCCCAGGAGGTATACTCTGTTTTTTGTTTTTTTTTTTTTTTAAAGATTTTATTCATTTATTTGAGAGAATGAGAGAGAGCACATGAGAGAGGGGAGGGTCAGAGGGAGAAGCAGACTCCCCGTTGAGCAGGGAGCCTGATGCGGGACTCAATCCAGGGACTCCAGGATCATGACCTGAGCCGAAGGCAGTCGCTTAACCAACTGAGCCACCCAGGCACCCAGTATACTCTGTTTTGTTTTTTTTTTTTTAAAGATTTATTTATTTATTTATTTATCTGAGACAGAGAGAATGAGAGACAGAGAGCATGAGAGGGAGGAGGGTCAGAGGGAGAAGCAGACTCCCTGCCGAGCAGGGAGCCCGATGCGGGACTCGATCCCGGGACTCCAGGATCATGACCTGAGCCGAAGGCAGTCGCTTAACCAACTGAGCCACCCAGGCGCCCCCAGTATACTCTGTTTTAAAGCACAACTTCACCCAACGTTTTAGCTAACAGACGTAGTTGTCATGTATTTATCTCTGGTTGCAGCAGGTCCATTTGATCCATGGACCGCCTGCGGGAAGTGAGAAGGTTCAGAGGCAACACAGAGTGCACTCTGAGCACTCCTGTTCTAATCCTCATGGCCCTGACATGAGCAAAAATATCAACAATTTCCTGTCCTTCCAGAATCATGTGCTGTCAGGAGCAGTGGGACAGTCAGTCAGATGTGTCCCAAAGCATTGTGGTGGGAGGCCCTCCAAGCTGACTCCTGCTTACTCCAGTTTCCTCCAAAGACCAGGTTTTCTCTCCCTTTGCATCTCTCATCCACTTAGCAGAATGCCTGACCCAGTGTGAGAGCTGGTGGCTAAGTAGGTTCAGAGAGTATGACAACCAAAGTACCCCAGAGGGGGCTCATAATTGAAATAAGAATTCTGTTGTTTTCATAGGCTCTGCTTGCTATTCATATTGGCTTCCATCTGGACCCAAATCCCTCTGCTCATTGCCCTACTGTCTCCAACTTGGAATTCTCTCTCCTTTATTTCTAGGCGGCCATGTTCTTTTTTTTTTTTTTTTTTAAGATTTTATTTATTTATTTGAGAGAGAGAATGAGAGAGAGAGCATGGGGGGGCAGGGCCAGAGGGAGAAGCAGACTCCCTGCTGAGCAGGGAGCCCGATGCAAGACTCAATCCTGGCACTCCAGGATCATGACCTGGGCTGAAGGCAGTTGTGAAACCAACTGAGCCACCCAGGCGCCCTGGGCCATGTTCTAAGGATGCAAGAGGCTTATTACCTATGACCTAGATTTCCACATTGTGCGCACAGGCTCTTCCCTGGGGAAGAAATGAGAACACAAAGAGATGCAGGTTTTAAGGGACACTCTGAGAAGTAAAGTGGCTGCCAGCATGGGGTCTGGGGACAGACAGACACACCCAACTGTTAGCTCAGACATTATACTGAACACATCACTCAAAACCACTCACCTGTGGTTTCCACAGCTATAGAGTGGGGAACCTCCTGGTGAGGGTTAGAAGATACCGTTCATGGGCGCCTGGGTGGCTCAGTTGGTTAAGCGACTGCCTTCGGCTCAGGTCATGATCCTGGAGTCCCGGGATTGAGTCCCACATCGGGCTCCCTGCTCAGCGGGGGGTCTGCTTCTCCCTCTGACCCTCTTCCCTCTCATGCTCTCTGTCTTTCATTCTCTCTCTCAAATAAATAAATAAAATCTTAAAAAAAAAAAAGAAGATATCATTCATGTAAAGCATTCAGTAAGGGCTCAATACATGGAAGTTATCACAGTTATCTCCCCTTATCTGTGGAGAGTCTACTCCCAGACCCCCAGTGGGTGCCTGAAACCATGGATAGTTCCAAAACTCTATATATACTATGTTTTTTTGCTACACATATATACCAGTAATAAAGTGTAATTTACATATTAGACAACAATAACGATAAAATACAACACAACAATATACTGAAATAAAACCTATATGAATGTGGTCTTTCTTTCTCTTTCTCTCTCTCAAAAGATCTCATTGTACTCACCTTCTTGTGATGATGTGAGATGACAAAATGCCTACGTGATGAGACGCGGTGTGGACGAAGTGACGTGAAGGATGCCCATCCAGCATCACAAGGGGGATTATCCACTTCCCGACTCTGTTGACAGAGGGTAACAGAAAGCTGAGAAAGCACAACTGCAGATAAGGGGGGACTACTGTATTTTTACTGAAAGATGAAGATACCCCTAGTTCAAGGTATGAACTAAGGAAAGGACTTATAACAGTAAGCTATCTGTAACTTTTTCTTAAAAAGCCCAAAAGAGTGATATGCTATTACAAACACTGCCAGTAGCCTACGTAATACCCCTCTCTGCTTCTTCCCTTGAACTAGAAACACCCTTTCATTTGGAGGCAGCAATGGTCCAGTTACAAATACTCCCCTCCTGCTGTCTGTCACTTCCTAAAAAGCTATTGTTTTCCTGGCAAAGAGCCGTTTGGTGCCTTTTGCCATTTCTTCCTGTCTGATAATCCAACCTTGATGCCTGGAGGTAGACGATCCATCTTGCAGCTCTGCAGTTGAAAGGGCCACACTGCGCTGCTGCATATGGCCACACCAGCTACGCACAGATTATGGTGTTGAATCGGTCAGGGTCCTGGCAGGATACGGACGGCTCACTCCAAAAGGCTAATGGTGGCGACTCTGCAAAAAGGCACTCTTTGAAAAGGTCTGTATTAAGGAAACATGGTTACGAGTGTTGCAATAAGGTGGTGTTAGCAACTGCAGGGAGGTATGACCACCTGTAACCCTGAAGGGTAAGGCACGGGAGGAGTTACTAGGAGTGGGAAAGTAGCTGAATGGACAGGGCTACCCAAGAGGAGCAGCCGGTGTTGACCCACACTAAGGGGACAGGGGGCTAATGACCCCAAGTTTACCATCTGACTCATTCATCTGTCTGATTCAGCAGCCCTGTACATGTTAGGGAGGACAGAGCAAGAACATGGGAGGAGCCAAAGTCCCTGCTGGCCCTGGGCGTCACCAGAGCAGCCCCGCACTAAGTGATCTGAAACATCTAACCACATGAAGAAAACAAACCATTGCATGGGTATGTCACTTTGGTCAGGTTTCAGTTACATGCCTGAATGTAGTCCTATGGGATTTATAGGCATCTTGTATTTGTGGTATCATTAGCTGACATGGTGTGTATCTGAGTCATTATTATTCTGTGTTTATTTTTTATTAGTTGAGAGTCAAATGTTCATCATTCCTTCTTACCCAATGGGCCTGCCTTGGCTGAGTGTACTGCTTTGTAGATAAGGTCCTAGATAAAATCTATTAAGGCTGATAAACAGACTGAAAGGAAGGAAGAAGCTTTGTATAGGAGCAGTGAATCACTACATTGGGTCAGGCTGACAGCCTCGATTATCGATTATCGCCCCATCTCCCTGGGCTGGGCTCCAAGGTCACCCACGTGGGGCAGGAAGTGTAACTCAAGGAGTCTCCGTTCCCTCTCCTTTTCCAGATGGGGCTCAACGATGGGTCACCTTCTCGTCCCAAGCGGAGGCGCTCTGGGCTCTTCTCTGCTACTCCCTAGGCTGCATCAATTGCGCTTGCACCTGACTCTCGACCTGGAGACCATCGTTCTCACTCAGATGAGTATTTTTTTCCTTGACTCATGTACCAGTTCCCTGTTCTGGTAACTGGTGTACGCTCTACGTGGCCTAGAGTCCTGGCTTGCTCTTGCCAGCTGCCCCCACCATGCCCTGGCCACAGCCCTAGCCAAGACCCATGGCTGGAGCCCTGTGATCTGTGACAGACCTCTCAGACACCATCTGCTTCTTTCATCCCAGGAGCCCTGCCTGCCCCGCCTCTCTGCTGCTGAGTCCTGCCCACAGGCCAGCACTCCCCAAAACTCCTTCCCAGACCTCTGCCAATAAGCCCTTGGCTCAATCCTCAGTTAAGATTAAGGTATCCCTTGGACACGGTAATTTACACGCTTGGCTGAAAACACAGCACTGTCTGCCACCTCCCAGCACCAGCCCCTCTCTCTCCAGCTGACTCCTCAGTGGCCTGTGGCTCAGAAGGAAGAGTAGAAACAGTAGTAATATAATGAAAATGACAAAGATGATACAAGTAAAATAGTCTACTGCTTACTAAGTGCTAACTACCTGCCAGGCATCACACAGAGCAGCATAGCCCTTGCTTTGCATGGCAACAGCACAAATCTGTTTTCATGGCTTAGTTCGATGACATCAGGTGCTCATCAGGCGCTCAACAGCCCAATTCACAGTTCATATCTGTTACCACAGTATAATAACTGTGAGTACTTGCCTAAGGACAAACTCTGCTGCTAACTTTTTAATCCATGAAATTACTCTGCAAATAATGGATCCAAATTGTGATCTGTGACGAATCATGTCACTTGCCTGACAGTCAGCCAGTGATTGGTCACTGGACATTTGTTATTCATTTTATGTACAGACAAAGCATCTATAGGTTGTGATGCCTCCTTAATTCCCGGTGATATTTACAAAACTCCTGTGATATTTACAGAAATGGATAATAGAGAGAATTGGCCAAGAAAGACAATAGGGTAGCAAAGAAACAAAAAGCGGTAATTTTCAGAGTGAAGTTCAAATCGAAGGTAAATGGAGGTATAGAAGAAAGGGCTGGCTGTGGGATGACACTGTCACTAGGGAACTCTAGACATGCAGCCCGAAGAATTTAGTAAAGGTGACTTGATGGACATAAATGCAGAAAGTGGTTGTGCAGAAAAGGATGAAGATGTTTCCAGGGAAGAGACGTGAATAAAAAAATTCATCTTAAAGGAATTCTCAAAGATATTTCATGATGTTGAAATTGCAAAGAGTAAAATATGGAAAGCTGATCCAAACCTGGAAAGCAGTATGACAATTTGTCAAGGCACAGAAAAGATGCTCACTCTGTACAGTAAGTTATATGGCAGAAAGGCGAGCACTGCTCAAACTACTCTTGAAAAGTTTTTTTTTTTTAAGATTTTATCTATATATTTGAGATAGAGAAAGAGAGAGAGAGCAGGAGTGGGGGAGCAGAAGGAAAGGGAGAAGCAGGCTCCCCACTGAGCAGGGAGCCTGATGTGGGGCTCAATTCCAGGACCCTGAGATCATGACCTGAGCTGAAGGCAGACACTTAACTGACTGAGCCACCCAGGTACCCCACTTTTGATAAGTTTTAAACAAAAACCAAAAAAATCCAAAAAAACCCCCAAACATTTAATTCTCAATGTTTCTAATGATTCAAATTACAGTATAGCAAATAAATACTAGGTCTACTAATTTTTTCATTTCCCTAGGCATTTATTTTTTTTAAGATTTTATTTATTTGACAGAGAGAGAGCACAAGCAGGGGGCAGAGGCAGAGGGAGAGGGAGACTTAGGCTCCCTGTCTAGCAAGGAGCCTAATGTGGGGCTCGATCCCAGGACCCTGAGATCATGACCTGAGCTGAAGGCAGATGCTTAACTGACTGAGCCACCCAGGCACACCTTCCCTAGGCATTTAAAGCCAATAGTAAGAGTTTTAAATATTTTGACAAAAATATTTAAAGTTCACAGCACAACTGTAATTTTTCCCCATTGAAATTTAAGATCACTTTGCAACTCATGTGGTCATTTTTAGAGAACTATACTACTGGGGCACCTGGGTGGCTCAGTCAGTTGGGTGTCTAACTTTTGGTTTTGGTTCAGGTCGTGATCTCATGGGTGGTGGGATTAAGCCCCACAACAGGCTCCAAGCTCCAAGCTCAAAGGGGTAGTCTGCTTGAAGTTTCTCTCCCTCTGCCCTTCCCCTCCCCTCCCAAATAAATAAGTCTAAAAAAAAAAAGAACTACACTACTATGCAAAGCAAGGACTGCCTGTACTTTACATATATTATCTCATTTTGGTCTTTAAAACAACTCTAAGAAATAGATGCTATTATTATCCCCATCTTATAGACAAAGAATCTGAGGCTCAAGAGGATAAATAATTTCACCAAGACTACACAGCTAGTAAATGGCTACACCTACTGAATTCTAAATCCCATGACCTTAATTCTTGCTATGTTGAAAATCCAGATACCTGATGGGTGTTTGATATGGGGGAGCAAGAGTGAAGGGGGAAAAGTAGTGAGAGATGAAGGTACCTTCTCTAATGGAACCCTGAATGGCTAGAGCAGCACCATCCATTAGAGCTTTCTGTTTTCTATATACACTTATAGAATAGAAATATTTATGCAATCTATAATCTATGGTATAGAAACATAATATATTCAACCCTAGTGCACATGTAAATCCATGTGTACTTCTGAATCCACCCTTCCTTGATCCTTCAGGATCTTGCTCCATCAAGTGTCAATTCTCCCTAAGGTAGGCTTAGTAGGTTAGCTCAAGCAACTCTCATTTCCAACTTTATTCTTCCTTGCCTGCTTCTCATTATTGAGGCTGAAAACAGACAAACAAACAAACAAACAAAAACAACTACTTTCCCAGACTCCTGTAGCCACCCTCCTGCAAGATGAACCCCAATGTCTGTTTTCTTCTTTCTCTGTAGCAGAGCCTTGAACATTAGCTGGGAACATGGCCATTCTAAATGAAAACTACATGTCCCAGATTTTCTTCAACTGACTGTGGCCTTGTGACTAAATATTGGCTTATGGGATGTAAGCAGAAATAATATGTATAATTCCAAAATGTGTTCTGGAGAAGGGAACATTCCTTTCCCTTACTCTCTCCTGTTTGCTGGAATATAGATGCAATAGCTAGAACTGGGGCAGCCATCTTGGACCATGAGTTGGAAGGAGGAATTGCAATCCAGAAAGTCTACAAATTCCTGAGGACTTTGGTGAAACACAGCTGCCATGCCTGCCGGCTTTGGACTGCTATGACCAAAATTCATTTATATGGGAGAAATAAACACTTTTAAAGCCATTGTTTTTTTTGGTATTTCCATGAGTATAGTGAATGTAATCTTTTTTTTTTTTTTAAGATTTTATTTATTTGACAGAAAGAGACACAGTGAGAGAGGGAATACAAGCAGGGGGAGTGGGAGAGGGAGAAGCAGGCTTCCCACCGAGCAGGGAGCTCGATGCGGGGCTCGATCCCAGGACCCTGGGATCATGACCTGAGCCAAAGGCAGATGTTTAATGACTGAGCCACCCAGGCGCACCTAGTGAATGTAATCTTAATATACCAAATGCCCTAGTTCTGGCCAATGAAACCCAAGGGCAAGTGTGCTGGATGACTTCTAGGCAAGATGCTTTTTCTCCTTGTAAAAGGAGAGTTCTATTTCCCCATCCTGGCTGTCTTCCTGCTTTTTATCTTTGGGCATGGTTATGAGAGAACACAATGCCCAGAGCTGCAACAACCTTCTTATGACCACAAAGGAAAGGCCAAGAGAAATTCAGAGCCACTAACCAGAACTGTGACACCACTGAACTAACCCCAGATTTCTTGTGCAAGATAATGAACAGCCTTATCATTTAGCCACTGTGTTGGATATTCTGCCACTTATAACAGAAGCATTTCCAAATGACATATTCTCTTGCTATGAATGTTTGTGCCCCTCCCCAAATTCACATGTTGAAATCCTCACCCCCAAGGTGATGACACTAGGAGGTGGGACCTTTGGTATTTCGGTGTGTAGGTCATGAGGGTGAAGCCCCTCATGAATTGGATTAGTGCTCTTATAAAACAGACTTCAGAGAGTCACCCCTTCCACCATGTAAGGATACAGCGAGAAGTCAGCAGCCTGCAACCAGCAAGAGGGCCTTCGCCAGAACCTGACCATGCTGCACTCTGATCTTGGACTTCCAGCCTTCAGAACTGTGAGAAATAAATTTCTGTTATTTATAAGCCACCCTGTCTGTAGTATTTTTTTTTAAAAAGATTTTTTTTTTTTAAGTAATTTCTATATCTCACATGGGGCTTGAACCCTGAGACAAAGAGTCACATGCCCTACCAACTGAGCCAGCCCCAGTCCATAGTATTTTAACAGCGGCCCAAACTGACTAAGACATCTCTATTGCTCCTTCAGTCTCTCCTTTTCAACTGCATCCTTCTTCTGGGCCCACAGTCATGCTCGTGTCAGCCATGCAAAATAATGCAGTTTGCCCTGTATCCATCTCTCCCTCCAGCCACTGTGTTTTCTTTCCTTTCATGGGTAAATCTCTGTAAAAAGTAGACTATACACATTATCTGCACTTCCTTATTTGTTATTCATTCTTTGATCTTCCCTGGCTTCCCTCCTCCCACTCGAGTATTTTAATCTAGGCCATTAATAACCTCCTAATTTGCAAATCCAACAGACACTTATTTGTCTTTTTCTTATCTGACCTCTCTATGGCTTTTGGCTTTGATAACCACTTCCGCCTTTGTGAAACTCCCTTCACCTGTGGCTTCTTACCCTCGCCCCGTTTCCCTTTTGACCTCTCTGGCTCCTCATTCTGTTTCCTTCATGAGTGCCTCCTTCTGTTTTTACCTCGTAAATGTTGGCTTCTTCAGGGTGCTCTTCTGCCTCACTCTTCCCTTTCTACTCTCCTCCTAGGTGCTAACTTCCGTTCCTAGAGTTTCAGAGATTGAAGGTAGCTTTCTTGAGAATCAGGGACCTACTCTAAGCTCCTCATTAAGCAGAGTTGAGCCAAAGCTGCTGTGGTAAAATACCATTTCCATTGGATTAAGCACTTTGTCATGGATTGAATTGTGTTCCCCAAAAAGATATGTTGAAATCCTAATGCCCAATATATGTGAATGTGACCTTATGTGAACATAGGGTCTTTGCAGGTGTAATCAAGATGAGGTCATTAGGATGTAACTGTGAACTTATAAGCAGAGAAGAGACAGATACACAGGGACAATACTGTGTGATGATGAAGGCAGAGTTTGGAGATGTAGCTATAAGCCAAGGAATGCCTAGGATCAATGGCCACCACTAGAAGCCGGGAAGAGGCAAGGAAGCATTCTCCCCTAGTTTTCAGAGGGATTGTGGCCCTGCTGACACTTTGATTTTGGGTTTCTAGCCTCCAGAACTGTGAGGCAACAAATTTCTGTTGTTTCAAGCCACATGCTTTGTGGTATTTTGTTACAGCAGTTCTAAGAAATGAATACACACTTCCTCCATTGTCCTGCACCTCCTTATCTAAGCAATCAGTTATGACTTGTAATCACCTTTCTTGTAATGTTTTGCCTTCATCTTTCCTCCAGTTCAGGGATTTTCAGCCTTTCACATATCACAGACCAGTTTCGATTTTTTTTTTAATTTGAATATCAACATTGGGTTTATAACTTTCAATTTTGCCCTTCATCTTTTGCTATAACGGCATTAAATACACACACACACACACCTACCATCTATTTACAGCATCACTCATAAAAGTTAGGACATCTTAACCCTAACCTCTCAGAAAAAAGTACAGTTCTTATTAAATTAAATATTTTAAGTTCTATGAAAAGCTCATTGCTTTGTCCCAATACTTTCCCAGTATTGTTTCAGATACATACTTTGTAACAGAAACATTTATGTATGTGACAAAGAAAATATTAATACATAAATATTCAGACTCCTTTCTTTGTTTCCAGCCATCTTCCCCCTCCTTTCCCAAATTCTTTTTGACCATATTGTAAAATTGGGGTAATCGGTAAAAGGAAAAACGTGAGAAGCAGGAGCTGAAAGAACAGGGAGAATTCCTTTTAAAAAGATAATCACTTCGGGGCCCCTGGGTGGCTCAGATGGTTAAGCGTCTGCCTTCGGCTCAGGTCATGATCCCGGGGTCCTGGGATCGAGTTCCGCTTTGGGCTCCCTGCTCAGTGCAGAGCCTGCTTCTCCTTCTCCCTCTGCCATTCCCTCTGCTTGTGCTCTTCTCTCTCTCTGTCAAATAAATAAATAAAATCTTAAAAAAAAAAAAAAGATAATCACTTCTCAAAGGAAAGTTTAGATGGATGAGGAGGTGGAGAGGCAGGCTCAGGACTGAGGGAATTGGAGAGGGGATGATACAGGTGTAGGAGAGAAATTGCTAATGGTAAGAAATGAAGAAAAAGGAATTTTAGGAAATTTGCTGTATGTTGTGTGTATTCCCCCTTTGGTACCTTGTTGAGAGTGTGAGGTAGGGATTTAAATTGCTTTCAAAAAATTTTTTTCTTCTGGAATTGTATCTCTTCGAGTGTGATTCTTTATAGGACCAGATGATAAGGCAGCTCAGGCTTAATAGGGTTACATATGACTGTGAGCAAATTCGGTTACTGTATAGCTGTTAGAAAAAGGGGCTATGGAATCAGAAGCCCTGCGTTTGAATCCTGGTCCCAATCTGCTTCTGCTGAGTCGGTGGGAGAATTACTTTACTTCTTTGTGCCTCATTTCCCCATCCACGAAAGGGAGATAACAGTACCCACTTCACTGGATTGTTGGGAGAATCATGAGTTAATACACATAAGGCAATTAGGACAGCGTTTGGCAATGGAAGACCTTCAAACGTCAGCTAGTAATAAAACGGAAACCTACAGATAGTTTCCCACCTGCTGAAACAAAAAAACCTTTCGCGGCTAACTGTTGCTAAACTTCTCCGCATGACACCCAACAAAACCTCAAGTGCCTGAGCAGGCTTAGCTCCCACCTTCCCTCCGGCGTCCTCAGGTTCGGCCGGGGCGCCGCACTCGCGGCCGCTCGCTCGCGCGGCCGGCGCCTCCCTCCGCCCGCATTCGCGGGCATCCTCGACGCCCGGGCGCCCTGGGCGCGCGCGTCACCCGCCGGCCGAGGCCAACTTCCCTCTCTCCTCCCCGCGCTCCCGGCACTTCGAACCTCGGCGCGAGCTTTTCTCCCCGTTGCGCTGTAACCGTTCAAAGGGTCTGACTCGCCCGCACATCCTAGATGCTCAATTAAAGTGGCCATAAAGGAAAACGCTGTACCTTCTCCCGCAAATACAAAACGGGGGGCCCTGGGTGGGGAGGGGACACTTGGTCGGTAGGAATGTCTTTACACCCCAAGGCCCGTTGCCCAGGGTGCCAGGCCCGGACGTTATGCCCGGGGCTGAGGGCGGGGCTCCCTTCCCGGGACCCCTCGGCTCTCCGCCGGCCTCCAGCCTCGCCCGGGACGCCCGCGGTCACGTGACCCCGCCCCCCCCGGCGCACAGCTGGAGGCGGGTCCCCGCCCTCCCCCGGGAGCGGCGGCGCCGGAGCGGGCGCGGTGCATTGTGGGCAGAGGGGCGGGGGTTGGGAAGATGGCGGCTCCCAGCCTCCTCAACTGGAGGCGGGTTTCCTCCTTCACGGGGCCGGTCCCCCGCGCCCGGCACGGACACCGGGCCGTGGCCATCCGGGAGCTGATGATCATCTTTGGAGGGGGCAACGAGGGCATCGCGGACGAGCTGCACGTCTACAACACGGGTAGGCGCCGCGGCGGCTCTACGGCCCCGCCTGTGGGAGCAGCGGAGGGGGAGGGGAGGCGAGGCGGCGGCCGAGGCCCTGACAGCTGTCACCGCCGGGTCACTGCATCTTCGGGCGGGCAGCTGGGAGTGTGGCTCGGCCGGGCGGCCGGGGTTCCGCAGTGTCTTTGGTGGCAGCTCCGTTTCCCCAGGGCCCGCGGGGCAGAACCGGGCCCGGAGCGGGGCGCGCCGGCCCTCAGGCAGGCGCTCCCGGACCCCCCTCCCCAGCCCTGCGGGCGGACGTAGGCGAGAGAGAGACCATTTCCACCCGCCAGGGCCTCTTCCCTAAGTCTTTCCCACTCCGGGGGTCCGAGATCCCTCCCCTGTCAAAAACCAAAACCGGCTCCAAACCCAAGCTTCTCCGGGCCATTCTCGTCTTTGCCTGCGGTCTTTCCTTAGGAGGAAACGAATCGGGGCAGGGGGAGGGCTGAGGGGTGGTGAGGAGGGAAGACGAAAGGCCTGGTACTTTCACCCCAAACACAACCCCGTATCTGGCAGGTGGCAGTCAAGATTTTTACCCCGCTGGTAACCCTCTTAACTGGCGGGGAAGTGGTTCGTTGGTGAGACCGGCGCCTGTCTCTCTAGTTGGGTGTGTGTGCTGAAGCTCGGCTGTGCAGCGCTCTCGGAAAGAGGACTGTCAGCTTGAGCACCGCTACAAATCACAAGTGCCCCTGGCCGGGGAGGCCCTGCCTTTGGGTGCCTCGGGATAGAAAGGAGGGTGGAATTTCATTGTCCCCAACTTGTAAATGCGCCGGCTATCAAGAGGAAGCTGTTTCCTTGGCGTAAGGCTAATTACCGAATTTTGGGTCTATGTCATGATCAATGACTTTGACCAAATAACTTAATCATAGTGTTCATTTTAAGGTTAATAAAAGAGTGGCGTAGGAGGAATTTCATTTTTTCACCCTCTCCTCCTCCTGGCACTCTAATATATAGTTTAAAAGTTACTTGACAATTTGGTATGGTGTAAAAATCCTGGCTTTAGAATAAGTTAGACCTGGTTTGAATTTTGCTCTGCCGGTTGCCCAGGGTCATCGCTAAAGTTACCAAACTTAAATGTCAGATTTTCACTTGTAAAATAGAGACGATGATACTCACCAAGTAGGGTTTTGGTAAGAATTAAATTGTACAGATCAGGGTTTTTCAACCGGTATTGCCACTTTGAACCAGAGAATTATTTGTTGTGAGAGCATGCGCTGTATATTGTAAGGTGTTTGGCAGCATCTCTAGTCTCTACCCACTAGTTGCCATTAGCATCTCTCCCCTCCCTCCAGTTAGACAACTACACATTTTTAGTTTGCTCCTGGGGGCAAAGTCATCTCCAATCTCCAATAACCACTGATACAGATGATAAATACAAATACTCATAGTTTGTGGTAACTGTTTATTATAATTGGTTTTAATTTTATTTTGGCAACTAGTTACAAATCAGTGGTTCCTACCTGCTGTTAGAGGAGACATCCCTCCAGGTTGCGCTGCCCATGGATTTGTCTGTGATGGTACCAGAATACTAGTATTTGGGGGAATGGTTGAATATGGAAGATACAGCAATGAGTTATATGAGTTGCAAGTAAGTGTATTTCAAATTTATCTCAATCTGCAGCTTTAATAATGATATTGCTCCTAATTCTTCGAAAGATTGCAAAATATTTCATTACATATTTAAAATAGTATGAGCTTCACATTTTATAGCTTCAAGGAAAATGTTTCCGCTTCACTAAAAAGCCAGAGTTTCTAATGTAAGTCTTTTTTCAATACCCAGTGTAACAGTTGTAACATTAAGATATCTGTTACTTAGCATCAGTTATATATGTTACACGTTTAGGTTTTTGTATCTTAGTTCTTCAATTTTAGCAGCAACAGAAGCATCTGAGGGCTTGTGAAAACACAGATTGCTGGGCCCTGCCCCCAGAGTTTCTGAATCAGTATTGTCTGGTGTGGGGCCTCACCCCTGGCATTCCTTCCAAGTTCCCATGTGCTGATGCTGGTCCCCAGACCATACTTTGCAAACCTCTGCCTTCGTTATAGAGATTGTTACCCTCACACTAATAAACACTCCCCCCCGCCCCGGCAATACATACAAAAAAAGTGTACAATTTCATATGTCCTTTATAAATTTGATTCTGTTAAACTACACTCAGAGCCCTCTATGACAGCCCTCAAATGACTTTTAACCAACTGAGCTAACCGGCCGCCTGCCCTTAAATGACTTTTATTTCTGAACTGTGCATATATTCACAGGGTTGTTATCATGAGGACATCTGCTAATTGAGAGGTATAGGTGAATTATACCTATTCATAAACAAATAGTTTTATTTTATTTTATTTTTTTAAGATTTTATTTATTTATTTGAGACAGAGAGAATGAGAGAGAGAGCACATGAGAGGGGGGAGGGTCAGAGGCAGAAGCAGGCTCCCTGCCGAGCAGGGAGCCCGATGCGGCACTCTATCCAGGGACTCCAGGATCATGACCTGAGCCGAAGGCAGTCGCTTAACCAACTGAGCCACCCAGGCGCCCAACAAATAGTTTTAGATAAATAGAACATCCATAGCCAGAGCATAAGTTTTGGAGTTTGGTTTGTTAAATGATCTTTATTTATGCTTATTTAAAGGTTGAAATACAAACTATCTATGGATTACCTAATTTCAGAAAGTAAGACTATATAAATTTCATTTAATCTTAAAGCTTTGTATATTTAATTTTTCATTTGGAAAATATTTTTGCATTACTGGTGTTTATTACTATGAGCTTAGGTTGCTGTTGAGGAAAGCTGTGAATATGCAAGACTAGACTGACTTTCTTTCCCTTTTTTGGGTGGGGACAGAGGGGCAGAGGGAGAGGAAGAGAGAGATCTTGAGCAGGCTCCACACTGGGCCCCCATGCCCCTGAGCTGAAATCAAGAGTTGGACTCTTAACCAACTGAGCCACCCAGGCGCCCCAAGAAGACTAGACTGAATTTCCGTTACAATGTTTATTTTAGTTCCAGAAATTACCTGTTTACTTGTCATTTGTCCCTGGAATAGCTTATTGGAGCCTTCTGATTGAATTTTGATTAAAATATATTGGTATGATGTTATACTATGGACAATATAGGAATGCTTTCTTGATATTGTCTGATTGTATTTATGCTCTTTTTTAGGCAAGTCGTTGGTTATGGAAAAAAGTGAAACCCCACCCTCCTTCTTCTGGTTTACCTCCTTGCCCTCGGCTTGGACATAGCTTCTCTTTATATGGTAACAAATGCTATTTGTTTGGTGGTCTGGCAAATGAAAGTGAAGATTCAAACAATAATGTTCCCAGGTATGCTGATTCTTTTTTGGACCAAATGTTTATTTTATGACTTAGATTAAGAACATTTAATTTCTACCATTTTCAGTTATTAAAAGGAATGAAACTTAGCCTTTTACATTTACCTAACAATGAACAAATTTGTGTGCAATTGTATTTTCCTTAGTCCCTGGAATATATGTTTTCAAAATTATGCCTTTTCTAATCAGAAATCATCTTATTAAATGCTATTAATATAACTCCTTATAGCAACCTATTTGTATATATTGGCCCATAATGTATTTCACTTGTCATAAATGATAACAAAAAGTAACAAATGGTTGTTTTCAAATTAGATGCCTCTGAGAATTTGGTGACAAAAATCTCACTATAAAATGAAGTATCCACTTTTCATACAGGAAGCTGTTACAGTGGTTCACACAAGCAAATACTTTTTGAACCAACTGTCTCCTTTTTCCAAACAGAACTAATCACTACCTAATTTTTTTTGCATAGTGTTTTGATCACATTGTCATTATAGCACTCAGGATTTGGAGATTTAGAGTCCAAAAGACAGTTTTCTGATTCACTGTTTACCATGTGTGTCCTTTAGTGGAAGTAATCTAATCCTGTTTTCCTTGACTGTGAAATGGAAGTGATTAAATATCTACGTTTCAGTGTCATTCTGATGGCTAAATAAGATCGTTGGCATCATTTTCAAAGTACTTGCAGGTTGCCATCAATATAGTACCTACATTACATTGATGTTAGAGTCTTAGCTTTTTTGTCTTTTCCAAGCTTTAAAAAATGACACATACTAGGGACGCCTGGGTGGCTCAGACGGTTAAGCGTCTGCCTTCAGCTCAGGTCATGATCCCAGGGTCCTGGGATCGAGCCCCACATTGGGCTCCTGGCTCGGCGAGGAGCCTGCTTCTCCCTCTCCCTCTGCCTCTCTCCCTGCTCATGCTTTCTCTCTCTCTCTCTCTCTGTATCTCTGTGTCTCAAATGAATAAATAAAATCTTAAAAAAAAAAAAACTAAAAAAAAAAAAATGACACATACTAAAACATCATGGTAAACTTGGAAACTGGAGAAAAGGAAAAAAATTTATCCCACCATACTAATCCAGATACTTTTACTTCTGGCACATGTCTTTTTCATTTTTACATTAAACAGATTTTTCTAGATACAGACTTGTAAAAGTGCAAGAAATTAGAAAGTATGTGAAGTTCTTTCTTACGGCATCACTGTCCTCCAACACAGGCAAACACATAATTCAATTTGATATGTATCTTTTAGAACCTTTTTCATGTAACATATATTAGTCAGCTTTTTTTAAGGTTATTGTGTATAATGGGGAAGGTTCTCAAGTTTATGCTGCTTGAGGGAGCAAATAGATGGATGCAGTGCTTTTGAAAGCCTCTGGTTAAAACTAGCAGATTCATTTCTGTTCACATTTCATTTTGGTCAGCAATCGAGGACTGAGTGTTCTGCCTAGCAGGAGAGGGGAGGTGGAGAAGGTTGATCTGATCCTACACAGACATGTATTCTCTTTTATGGAATTGGGATCTTTCTTTTTGCTTTGCAACTTTGGGTGTTTACCTGTTTGTTTTTGTTGTTTGTTTTTCCTTTAACAGTATGTCTTTGAGATCTTTTAGGGCAGTAGATAAAAATTGACCTTATTTTTTTTTTAATGGCTGAAAAGTAGTCTGAATTATGCAAATTACTTAATCATTCCCCTACTGGTAGACATTTAAATATTTCTACTTTTTTGCTATTATGGTCTTTGCACATGTATAACGATTTTGTTTCTGTTGTTTTTGTTTTTTTAGAGAGAGAAAGAGCGAGTGAGGGTTGGGGGGGTTGGGCAGAGGGAGAGGGAGAGAGAATCATCAGCAGGCTCCATGCATAGCATGGAGCTGGTCACAGGGCTTGATCTCATGATCCTGAGATCATGACCTGAGCCGAAATCAAAAGTCACATGCTTAACGACTGAGCAACCCAGGCGCCCCAATTTTTGTAGATTCATACTTGTACATGGAATCGGTGGGAGGGAGGTCAAGGGTATTTACATTCAAGTTTGTTAGATATTCCTGAATCAACCTCCAAAGAGACAACCATTTTATATTCCTAATAACAGTGTACGGTTACAGTCTACACCCTTAACAGTATTGAATTGTCTCACTCTTCTTAGTTTTTGCCAAACTAATAGGTGAAATGCATTTCATGAATTTATTTTGATTTTTTTAAAAACTGGTACTGAGTGGTGTCTGGGTGGCTCATATGGTTAAGCGTCTGCCTTTGGCTCAGGTCATGATCCTAGGGTCCTGGAATCAAGCCCCACATCGGGCTCCCTGCTTGGCGGGGAGCCTACTTCTCCCTCTTCTTCTACTGCTCCCCCTGTTTGTGCTCTCTCACTCTTTCTGTCAAATAAATAAATAAAATGTTAAAAAAAAACACTGGTAATGACTGGGGCACATGGGTGGCTCAGGTAGTTGTGTCCAACTCTTGATTTTGGCTCAGGTCATAATCTCAGGGTCATGAGATCCAGCCCCATGTTGGACTGCAGGCTCAGCGCAGTCTGCTTATCCTCTCCTACCCGCTCTACTCCTCCCCACCCATGTGCGTGTGCACTCTTGTTCTCTAATATAAATAAATAAATAAATAAATAAATAAAATCTTTTTTAAAAACTGGCAATGAGCTTGATTAACTATGCATAGTGGACATTTGCAATTCCTTTTCTGAAATTGTTCATATCCTTTCATTTTTCCTTTTTAAATAAACTATAAATTATATACCATAAAATTCATCCTTTTTATACATACAATTCAATGACTTTAGTCAATTTACTGTGTTGTGTATCCATCACCATAATTCATATTTTTCCAAGTCTTCTATTTGTCTTTTTTAAAAGGGTTTTCATTTTTGTTTTATCAGGTTTGACAATATTTTTCTTTTATTGCTTTCTGCTTAGGAAGATTCTTCTACCCCACAACTATCTAGTACATTCACAGCTTTATATTTAAAATATTGTATGTTTAAAATATTAATAGATTTAGAATATATTTTTGTGACTACTATGAGGATTTTTACTTTTTCTTTATAATGGATTTCCAGTTCTCCACCACCATTTATTAAACAAGCCATTTTTTTCCTCACTGATTTTAAGTCCCATCTCTATCATATCTTAAGCCTCATATAAATGAGTCTTTTTCTAGGCTTTCAGGACCAGGGGTTATGAACTACACTCTGTGGGACAAATTTGGCCTGCTAGCTACCTGTCTTTATTAATAAAGTTTTATTGAAACACAGCCATGCCCATTCATTTACATGTTGTCTCTGGCTGCTTTCATATTAAAAGAGCAAAGTTGAGGGGTGCCTGGGTGGCTCAGTCAGTTAAGTGGCTGCCTTTGGCTCAGGTCATGATCCTAGGGTCCTGGGATCAAGGCCCACCTTGGGCTACCTGCTCCATAGGCAGCCTGCTTCTCCCTCTCCACCACTTGTGCTCTCTCATGCTCTCTTTCTCTCTCAAATAAATAAATAAATAAAATCTTAAAAAAAAAAGAAAGCAAAGTTGAGTAGTTGTGACAGACCTTATAGCTTCCATAGCCTAAAATATTTACTGTCTAGCTTTTTACAGAAAATGTTTGTCAACTCTTGTTCAAGACTCTATTCTGTTTCATTAATATATTTACCTTTCTGTCATTAATTGTGATGTTTGCTATAGGTTTCTAGTATTTGCCTTATCAGATTAAGGAAGTTTTTAAAAATTTCTAGTTTGCTGATTAGTTTTTTTTCTCTCTTTTTAACCAAAAATGGATGTTCATATTCATTTCAGACATAGAAATTAACTTACTATTTCTTTTCTTTTATCCATTAATTGTGTGAATTATATTATTAGGTTCTGAAATATAAGCCATCTTTTTATTTGTAGTTAAACCCCAGTTTGTTGCATTACAGTGTTCTTTTCATACTTTGCCGAATTCATTTTGCTAACATTTATTTATATTATCTATAGTCACTAGTGATTTTTCCTATATTGACTTTATTTGGGGTAGTGGGGTCTTATTCTAATCTGATTTGAGTATCAGGATTCTGTTATTCCTGGGAACATAATCAGGGCTGTGTTCTGAGGTTATGGGAAGCTTTCCATCCTTTATTATGCTTAAATAACATAATTTCTTGAATATTTAGTAGAAATTTCCCATAATTGTCTGAGATTGGTATAATTTAGGAAGATGATTTTTGCCTAACTTTTCAATATCTCATAGTTATGGATTCATTTAGATTTTTCTACTTTCTGTTGAATCATTTGGTAATTTATGTTTTCCTTGAAAAATCACCCATTTCATTTAGATTTTTACATTTTTTAATAAAAATTATAAGACAATTCTCTGTATATCTTTAAAATCTCTGTATCTGTAGTCACATCTCTTTTCTCATTTATAAATGTGTATGTTGTCTTTTCTCTAATCAGACTCGTGAGTGGTTTGGTGGTTTCAAAGAACCATTTTTTAGTTTTATTGATTTATTTTTGTTTTTCACTTGTTTTCTTTATTCCATTTCTTTAAATTTTTCCTTTTTTCTCCCATCCAAGTACTAACCAGGCCCGACCCTGCTTAGCTTCCGAGATCAGATGAGATCAGGTGCGTTCAGGGTGGTATGGCCATAGACTAAATTTTTCCTTTTTACTAACTTCTTTTAAACTTTTAATAGTTTTGGTACCTTTTCTAACTTTTTTGTAACTTCTCGTAATTTGAATGCCTATTAATTTATTTGTTTTCAGTGTTATTTTCTAATAAATGCTACACATTTTCCTCTGATTATGGCTTTGGCCATATTCCATAGGTTTTGGTAAATAGTGCTCTTATTGTCATTATTTTTTATTTTCTCTTTAACCCAAAAATAATTTGGCATAAATTTGTAAAAATTTCCAAATGGAAAGTTTTGTTATTGTTGCTAATATGTAGCTTTATTATATTGTGTTAAAAAATATATGGTCTATGGGGTTTCTTCTTTTTGAAGATTGTCTT